ATATATATATATATATATATATATATATATATATGTTGATATAGTTAAAGTAAATTTAAGAAGTCATTTTTTTTTCATTTCAAACAACGGTAGTATTACCGTTTTTCAACGGGAGAAAAATGCAACGTTCAAATATTGGGGGTGAGTTTTGGCGTTATGACTCGTTATCATGGTAACGCTTGATGGCGTAACGCGCAATAACGTGGGGCTGAGGCGGTGTTCCCCGTTATGGCGCCGTTAAAGCGCTTGCCACGTAAGATAACGCGGGTTCCGCGTTGCCCACACCCGGTTGTCTAAGTTTGACCCATGATTATGGAAATATTGTAACTAATTCGTTAAATAACCGTAATTCTTCAAAAATAAATAGATAATTGTACTTCCAATATCATGGGTTTCCAAAGCCAGCACTCAACCTAGAAACCTTGCTCAGATTAACAGAAAAAAAATAACAATTTGAAATTTACAAAAATGGAGAAACAAAATAGCAGTAAGATTAAGTACTTAAGAAATCAAAACACAGAATTGTGTTAGATAAGTCTGAGTGTGGATTCGAGATGTGTAAAGTTTGTAACTCGCTATAGTGTTCAGTACCTACAAAACTGAAAAAAAAAATAAAAAAATGTTAAATTACAAAAAGGAAAAGATGCAAAAATAGTTTTACCAGAATCGAAAGATGAGCGGAAGATGTATTACATGTGAAGATAAATCTGGCCAAGTCATAGCTTATTTTCAGCAAGAACCCTAATTTCAAAATAAATAAATAAATAAATAAACATATGATTGGATCAACAAAGAAAGTGAAATATCGGTGAAGCTTTAAGCTATAAAAACCCTAATCTCAAAATAAAATCTGGAAGTTGGACAGATGAAGAAATGGTCGTATCGACAATGTGTGAAGAAGGACATTAATGCCACAATCATCTTCTAGAGAGAGAAACATGAAGATAAAAGAAGTGTTGGTCGATATAGAAATTAGCAGAGGTGAAATCGAAGCCCAAAGAATTGTAGTATTGAGAAGGAGGAGGGAGCGATTACCAGCAACACCGACAGAGTCAAGGGCTTAGCGGTTGGTCGATTGCTCAAAAATGGAGATAGAGGTGCCATTATTTCACTCATGTAAGGATAGACGAAAACGGAGATAGAAGGAAGGTTGCAATTCAGTTCGGCCAAATAGGATTCTTTAGGTTGAATTCCCTGATTTACGGGATTTATTAGTAACAAATCGATTCAAATTTTGGATAATGATTTGATTTTAATTAGAAGTAAATTTGGACATAAAACATTGAAAAAAACTTTGAGCGGGAAAATCATAATATAATACCTTGAATGAACGTCACATGGCATATTCCTTGAATGACACGTGGCATCAGAACTATTTTTTTATTAGGTAGGTTATATATATATATATATATATATATAGAGAGAGAGAGAGAGAGAGAGAAAGAGAAAGAAAGAGAGCTAGGTTCAAATGTTTCTACCAAGTATTATGTGCCTAAATGCACCAATGAGAATTCAAGAAATAATAAATCATTAAATAAATCATTAAAGGGTATTTTGGACATTTTGTACTTTTAATTAAGGAAATTATTTAATTGAAATCTTGCAATTAAGGAAATAAAATAAATATATTTGACCTAGTCATTTGTGTGGTCGACCTCCATCATTGCTGCCCACTTCCTCTCTTCGCCAACCTCCATCTTTTTAATTTCTTCAATTCTTAACAATTCCAAACACTCAAATGGAGTGTTGTTGTTACTGCAGCAGGTATGAAGCACCACCGCCGTATATATAATCTTTTTTTGATTCCTTTTTCGTAATCGATCGACCATGAAGACTCAGTTGGAGTCAGGTTCCTTTTTCTTTGTCTTTCACTGCTGGGAAAAACCACCACCGAGGGGTGGTGGTGTTGTTGTTGTTGTCCATCGAACACCAGCAAGAACCACTTTTTCCTCACCGTTCTTACCGATCAGCAACAACTCAAACCACCTACCATCTACAACAATCGTCACCACTCCCTTTTCACTGTTATTGGGGATTCTGGAGAGACCTCGAGGCAGCAGTCGCCTAGCATCGATTACATGTAAGCTTCATCTAACCTATCAATTTTGCAAGATTATTGGTATTTCCAGTTTTTTTTCATTCTTTGTGTAGCAATCCTTGCCCGCCAACTGTTTGATGAAATGGCTGAAATAAATTTTTTGTCCATTTCCATTTACTCTTCATCACTCTTTTACTTTAATTCAATTTTAGTATATGTACATATAAATATAAAAAACGATTTTTATACATTTTGAAGGTATACATCAAATATCTTAGTGCAGTTGTTACCCCCTCCAGCAAAACAGGGTACATATGTACCTTACAACATTCTGCTAGAATGGAATATCGAATTCTAATTTTGTTAGAATAGAATCTTGAATTCCAAGTCAACTTATGTAGTGAATTACCAAACACAACACATAATGGAATCCCGTAACCAATTATGTCATAAAAGAATTGGTATTCATTATTGTTATTGGTCTCGATTCTTATAGAATGACATCCTAAATAATGAAACATTACATTCTTTCAGAATAAATTACATTGCAAGTTTAAGGATGATTGTTGATGTTGGTTTGTAGAAATTATAGTTATATTCTATTTGAATGTATATCACATTCTATCGGAATTTATTGTTTTATTCTATTTAATGCACTAAAATTTTTAATATCTGAAAGTTGATTATGTTTTCTTTGTGAATTTAGGTTTTGAAGATGTTGTTATTAATATGGAAAATGAAGAAAACATGGAGAACAATAGTGCATTCTAGCAGAATGTATTCTTTCAGAATTTATAAATGGTTTCTTAACAATAATATTCTTTCGGAATGGATTAGTTTTTTTGTTATATTTTGATGTTTTTTTTTTCTTTTTTAACCATTTTTAGTTTTAATCATTAAGAATAAATGTAATCCTTAAACCATTATTTGTCATGATTTTTTTAGAATGCATGTAATAATTGTTTATAGCCTTATTCTTTACGGATGAATGTAAATAGTGATTCTTAAAGAATAAAATATGTATTCCTTAGAAAATGTTTATTCTTGATAATATGCTGTATAATTCTTTATGCATGTTTAATATAGAAAGTATCTTGAATAAAACCATACTCTGCAAGAATAAAAACCGCAAATATATTTACTAGTTTATTGTTGACTTTCTGTCATTCTGACAGAATAAAATCGGTTTATGTTTACAAATTACGTTTGAAATTGAATTAATTTGAAAAAAAAAATCAGATTTTTTAGATCAAAATCATTAATTATCCCATAAATCTCGATTTTTCCTTTTTTAAATTTGTCTCAATTGACTAAAATGCCGTTATGCTGAAATTTGTGTGATTATATGGTACATGTTACCCTATTGTTTTTTTACGAGGAATTAGATTTTATTATTAATTATTATTTAATAAAAAATTGCCACAGTTAAATAACATATTTAATTTCGAATTTATATTTATATTGCATGTTTATACATTTTATATAAATTAATTATTTTCGATGTTTAATTTAAAAAATGTAAATTAATTTTTATAGACGAATTTAATATTTTAAAATTATCTTTTTGCTTCAAATTAAATTTCTTAATAACCTTCTTTAATTCAAATCTTCAAACTTTTGACAACTATTAATGATTTGTTTATGCATAACTGATTTGTACAAAAAATTTTGTATATTATACCTTTTAAAATTC